TGGTGGGCAGCTTGCAGGGAGGGTGCCGAAGAACCACAGGCCGAAGAACCAAGCCTTGGTGCAAAGGGATCCGTGTGCGTGGCTAAGAAAGGCTCCTGCTCCTCCTGGTCCCAGGGCTGGAGGAGTCCAGGCAGCCAGGGGGTACAGCTGTTTCTCTCCCTGTCTGGTGGGCAGCCCCTATCTCTCAGCGCAGGAAGTGGGGCGTGGGGCAGAGGAGGAAGTAAGGGTGTTGCTGGGGAGCCGGTGCGGAGTGCCCCTCAGCCAGTGTCCTACTTAGGAGGCCCTGCACGCAGGGCCTGTCTGCCTGGAGAGGGAGGCAGATAGAGGGGTGCGGTCCGAGCAAGGATGGATAGAAATAGCGATGAGTCACAGGGGGGTGTTGCAGTCGTTTCGGGGAGAGGTTCTATTTTAGGTGCAGCGGCTGTGACAGAGCCTGTGACGTGGAAGGGCAGGGGAAGGGAGGGCGCCCTGTTTGGGCCTGTCCAGAACCCGAGGGAGGGCCACTCAGGCCCTCGGAAGACACCACCAGCTCCCTTTTCTCAGCAAGGCCCACCTGGGACACGCAGCCTTCAGCAGGACCTGGCGTCTGTGATAAGAACTGAATCCGTAGCTTCCCCCCAGCCAGACGCTGGCTCCCCTTCACAAGGTGGGCTGGTCCCTTCCCAGGGGTCCCTCTCAGGATGAGCAGAAATGGCCTGTCCTTGAGAACTCCCCCTGGGGTGGAGCGGAACCCTTCCCTTACCTGATTTTTTTAAAGCTTTTTTTTTCTTTCTAGCGTTTGTTTTTTTTGGGGGAGGTGGTGGTGGTGGTTAATTTATTGTGAATTCAGTGAAGGTTTATAGAGCGGATCAATTTTCCCGTCCACAATCCACACACTGTGTCTCCTGTCGCTGATTCCAACCCCCTCAATGGAGCAGCGCTTGGCCTACTTCCTTCCTGGGTTTCCAGTTCTGTCCCTCCTCCTTTCCCTGCCCTCCTGAACTCTGAATTCTGTCCGTAGCCCAAGGCTGCCCCTCTGATCTCCAATGGCTGCTGATTCCAAGCGGCATGGGTCTCGTTCGTGTTACTCTCCCCATTACACCGGAACTCAAGCTCCCTGCCAGCGAGCTCACTCCTACAACACCTTAGAGGCCCATCTGTTATTCTGGAAATGAGTCCAGTCTCAAGCTTAAGGGGTGACTGGGCCACAGTCATGGGATCCTACCTGTCGCTGCTCTTTCCAGTCACCCTGGTCTTCTCACGAGATCCCTTCAGAAAAGTTGTCAGGCTTAGCTGGGCACCATCTGGTTCTCTGGGTCTCCGGGCTGCGGAAGATGCTGTCTGTGTGGTCGGCCCGTCATTGGACTCCTTGTTCCCATGCCCTTCCTGTGCCCTGCTGGCCTCAGCATGGGGGGAGCTAGCGGTGGCACCTTAGAAGACCTCTCGTGAGTTTTTGAGACCCCAGTTGTTAGCTCGCTAAAGTGACATGCAGAGAACACTGTCTTTGTGAACCGTGGTAGGTCCATTGGCCTAGGTGTCTCCCGAGAGCATGGTCTTGAGCCCCCAGGCCCAGCATCTCATGCCTCTGGAGGAATGTGCCTTTGGACTGGGTCTCAGAGACAGAAGGTATTTGCCTCTGTGCCTTTCTCATCCCAAATGGAGACATAGAGGTGTTGGGTCTTCAAAAAGCATCAGAGCAAGTTAACAGTTAGTTCCCAGATATGGGGATCGCTTTACACCCCACCAGGTGTAAAGGGCTTCTAGAGCCAGCCTTGGTCTGTAGGGGATAATTCTGCTCATGATTTGAAGGGGCTACATCTAGACTCCTTCCTTGGATGATAGGAAGCTGAATGACCTTTAGAAGGTACAAGCATGCAGGGACACGCCCCCCACACAAGGCTGTAGACCCATCAGTGGGCACTGTACTCCAGGCTCTGGGTCAGGGGCTGGGCGGGGCCGTCAGAGCCACTCCTGCTGGCAGTACCACTTCCTATTTGGGTAACCTCTCGATCATGCCCCGAAGTCATCTCAGACCTGGACTTTCTCTCCTGTTTGGAATAGAATGAAAGAAGGACTGGGCGGTGTATTAGTCTGGCTACTTTGGAGAAACAAATCCACAGCAACTCATGTATAAGAAAGTTTTATGTAAAGGAAGTGTGCATCACGAAATCATCCCAACCCAATGCTGCCCAAGCCCACAAGTCCAACATTAACCCATTAACCCAACACCAGTCCACAAAGGCCTCCACCTCACAAAACAGAGGCAATGATGCCGACTGCAGGAGGAAAGCTGAGTCTGAATGAATAAGCATCTCAGCACTAGCAGGGGTCTCCACACGGCTGCTCCAGCACCCAGGGCTGCATCGGGATAGGTCCATGTGGCTTCTCCTTGGGGATGTCTTGTAGGAAGTCAATCTTGCAAGCTGAAGCAGGGAACTGCTAAGGCAGCTGCACCCTGGTGCGACCATCACAAAGCAAGAGACCCGAGAACTAGAAAGGCGAGGCTCACCACCCATTTATCCCTCCGCCTTTCAATTAGCCCCACATGTGATTACCGGCCAGGTTGGCACAATTAACTAACTCAGGCGGTCAGATGACCTCCCTCTGAGCTACTGCCCCGGGAGTGCCTGGGAACAGCCCCTGGGTGGTGCCTGACACCAGGGGTACTCACCGAAGAGCAGTAGCCCTCCCACTCCAAGGATACTGCCCTTGGACATGGGCTGAGACAGCCAAGTTCAGGCTGTCAGGTCAGCTGCAGCCGTCTGCCTCCCTGCTCCATGACCCAGAGGCACAGAGACTAGACCTTTCCCTGGCCAACGGGGCTGTCATAGTGCATTCGGAGCCTCTGGCCACAATCACAGGCCGGGGAGCAGCCCTGGCCTCCAGCCTCAGCTGGAACCATACAGGAAGACGCTCCTTAGCTAGGCCAAGGCCTGTGGCTTCCGCCTCAAGGAAAGTGCCCCCTAGCAGCACCTTCCCAGGATGCATCCCTCAAGCTGACCTCTCTGTGAGAGCCTGTCTGTGCCACTGTGCTCCCTCCTGAGAACCACACCCTGCCAGTCTGGGAGAGAGGAGACCCCCAAACAAGCCAACGAGTAGAGGGTCTGGGATCGCTTAGCACCGGGAAAAGAGCTGGTGGCTTCAGACGGAGCGCCTGGCTGGTCGGGAGAAAGGCATTTTTTAGATGGGATGCTGTACCAAGACCAGTAGCCTACATGACAGGCTTCCCCCGAGGGTGTGGGGCAGAGGGAATCGTGAGGGTTAAGGTTCTGGTGCAGAAATAAGCTCCGTGGACCGCTTAGCTAAACAGGGGTGAGGGAACCGAGAGGGCTGGCAGGAAGGAGGCCAGAGGGAAGGCAGGCAGGGGTCCCCGGGTCAAAAGCTCCTGGGGTAAGAGTGATAGGAGGCCATTAGAGGAGTTTGGGCCTCCACGTCCGGGACACGCTCTGATGCACATTGGGGAGTTTGGAGAAGAACAGGTACCGGCTTGGTTACACGGAAGTCCAGGAGTCAACTCGAGGGAAAGGTCCTTTCGCCCTCTCTCGGCTTCACTGCAGGTGGGCGAGAAGATTCCTCGCCACTCCCAGATCAGGGTCTCCTGTCTGAAAATCCACAAGGAAAAAAGACTGCCTCCCTTACCCAGGCACGTGGGCCCTGTTTACGAGGTCCCGTGCCATCCACGCACTGCTGGCTGCCTTCAGTGGGGGCCCAGCTGGAGCCGGGTGCCCCGTCCACGCCGCATGTCTGCCACACAAGCAGCCCCACGGGTCGGACTGCTCTGGGGGCGCAGCCGATCCCGTTCTCTGAGGAAATCCGTGCTGGCCAAGTGCGGCAGGGAGCCTCCGGTCCCGGTTCCTGCAGGGCTTGGTTCCTGGGGGGCTTGGTTCTCGTTTCCGTCGCGAGCTGTTCTCTCGCGGTTTTACGGGCGTGATCATTCACAAGCAGTGTGCAGTCCTCCCCGCGTGCATTTCCCATCATTGTCTTCGTTCTGGTACTCTCCGCTCCTGGCTCCCCCGAGACTCCCCCACCACACCCCAAGGAACCTTCAGTCCAGTTACAAGCTGGTTTCCTGCACAGGAACACATACACCTAATGACAGCAACAAAGCCAAGCAGAGAAAAACCTCGCTAGCAACGAAAGCGGAAAATATTAAAAACTAGAACAAATTTAACATGGGCCAAAGGAAGATCAAGCGATAAACGATAAGGTGTTGTGTTTTAACCACCATCCACTTTCAGGGCACTCTTTCAAGCCCCTTCACAACCCCGTGTTCAGAAGGGGCTCACTGGAGGCTTCCGCCACGTGTATTTCCCCATCGCTTTTCCTTTCCTTCTATTTTTTTTTAACTGAAGCCACTATAGAATGGACCAGAGGGACATCAAATGACCAGTGACGACATTGTGACTTCGGGTGTGCCATCTGTGACTGCATGCAGCTCCTCTGGGAATCGTGGTTTCTCTTAAGTCTCTCTGCCCTCCCTGCAACAGCCGAGGTCAGGGCTCGGGGCTCTCGAGTCTGTGAAGTTCTTCCTCGGGGCCTTCCAAAACCCAGCCCTGCACTGTCTCCTGAGGGCTTTGAAGAGGTCACTCTGGGCTGCTGTGTGGAAACTGCCAGCCGGGGGCAGGAGGGAAGGAGAGGGACCCATGGAGACCATCCATCGGGGGTCAACCTAGCAGGAGGCCAAGCGTGCAGATGGACGGGTGAAGCAGCATGTGTGCCGGAGTGACATGCACAGATCTGGGGGAGTGTTGGGGCCTAGCCAGTGGGCTGCGGGGGGGACCCTGGAGCAGGAGGGTCCAGGCAGGCCGAGTGTGGGGCTGCCTCTGTTCTGCCCCAGGTACCTGGTAGCTGGTAGACGGCAGGGCAATGCCATCTGCCATTTCGAGCCCCTTTTAGTCCTTGCTCCCTGGAGGCACAGGCTCAGCTCAGCAGAGTGCGGGGTTCCGCTCATGCTGGGGGCCGGCCCGACCAAGGCACCGCCCATCGTGGCCACCCTGCTGACCGTGTGCCTCTCTCCTCAGGTGAAGGAGTGGCTCTGCCTGAACTGCCAGATGCAGCGGGCTCTGGGGATGGACATGACCACCGCACCCCGCTCCAGGAGCCAGCAGCAGCTTCACTCCCCGGCTCTGTCGCCGGCCCACTCCCCAGCCAGGCAGCCCCTGGGGAAGGGGGAGCCAGAGCGAGCCCAGGGCCAAGGAGGACCACAGCCCAGCCCCCACAAGGCTGAGCCAGCCAGGACAAGCTCAGCGCCACCAGGGCCTGCCCAAGCAGCTGTCCCTCTGGAGGTGGGCAGGGTGTCTCCTCAGCCCTCTCTCCCCACCAAGCCTTCCACAGCTGAGCCCAGGCCACCCACAGGAGAGGCCCTGGCGAAAAGTGCCACCGCACTGCCCTCCGGGGCTGGTGCTGCTGAGCAGACACAGGAGGGTCTCACCGGGAAGCTCTTTGGCCTGGGGGCGTCGTTGCTGACCCAGGCGAGCACCCTCATGTCCGTGCAGCCTGAGGCTGACTCCCAGGGCCAGCCCTCCCCCAGCAAGGGGCAACCCAAACTCGTCTTCAGTGATGCCAGCAAGGAGGCCGGCTCCAGAGCTCCGGGCTCCGGGCCCGGGGTGGGGCCAGCACCTGGAGCCAAAACAGAGCCTGGGACCCGAGCAGGCCCTGGATCTGGGCCTGGAGCTCTGGCAAGAACTGGGGGGACAACCAGTCCGAAGCATGGCAGAGCAGAACACCAGGCAGCGTCCAAGGCTGCTGCCAAGCCAAAGGCCGTGCTGAAGGAGAGGGCCACCTGCCCACTGTGCCAAGCTGAGCTCAACGTGGGCAGCAAGGGCCCAGCCAACTACAACACCTGTACCACCTGCAAGCTCCAGGTGTGCAACCTGTGTGGCTTCAACCCAACACCCCACCTGGTGGAGGTAAGAAAGCTGGACTACGCTCAGTCCTTTGGACCTGGGGATACCTGGAGGCATGGCTGGAAAGGAGCCCTGGGTCTCTGGTGGGCACAGGGCTGCCCGGACAGTTAGCACTGAAGAGGGGCTCCTCTCCCTTCCCGGACCCTGCCCCCAGGACAGCTATTGCCAGGACATTGTGCCCACTGCCTCTGACTGACTGAGGTTGGTCTGGCTTCCCACTTTTAGCCACCATGGGGATGGCCCCAGTACAAGAAGCTAGGCTCCCCTTTATAAGTTGGAAAACCCTGAGGTACCCCACCCTCCTTCCCTCTGTGACACCAGAGCCAGGGCAGGTGACCCAAGGGGAGGAGAGCTGGAGGCCATGGGGCCGAGACCGTGTGTCCGGTGTGCCTCTCGCCCTGGTTGGGTGGGAAGCCTTCCCCCTATTTTCACAGTGGGACAGACCACGTCGCACTGCCCAGGATCTGGCCCAGCCGGGTGAGACTCACCCTAAGTCCTCTGGCTGAGGTCTGCCAAGGTCACGGATGTAGAAATCTCCGTGTCAGAACTACAGGCCCTGGTCCACAGTGTCTCCCCGGCCCGGGCTGGGCTGGGCTCTCCTCAGGGCTGCTTGTGGAAATGCTTAGAGTGCTTTCTTATTCCGGGGGTGTCGGGGGGGGGAGGGTGGTAGGAGGGGGGCTGAGAGCATTGCAGCCTGGGAAGGGCATCGGGCACTGTGCAGCGAGGGCTGGGAGGGGCCAGGAGGGCCAGTGCTCGTTGGCAGCTCGGAGCTCAGCCTAGAGGCTCAGCGAGCACTTGGCCACCTGGCAGAGGCAGCTCAGCCAGGGTGTGACCCCTGACTCACTCTCCCTGCCTGGAGGCACCTGTATCAGCCCCACTGGCAGGGCTGGGTGAGCTCTCTTCCGCAGAGGGAGTGCTCTTGGGGCCTCCCGGAGGGTGTGTGTGTGTGTTCTCAGCAGCAGCAGGTCAGGAGGTGGTCCAGCTGAGTCCCCGGCCATGTGTGCACAGGCAGCCTGCCGAGCCTTTCAGACCTCGCTCACAAAACAGGGCATGGTGCATGCCGACCACTACCGGTCCAGGCTGGGACCAGACAGGCCAGGGTGCATGCCTCTGGGACCCCTGTGGCTTCTTATCTGGATTTGCCTGGGGCCAGATGCCCTCCAGAGGGCACCCCTGTGGGAATCACTGATTGCACCCAGGACTGCTTTGGCCACACTGTCTAGCATGCCTCAGGGAGGGGCAGCCCTCGCTGGCTTGGCCAGAGACCTCCACAGCCTCCCTGCCCTGCCCCCTAGGGAGCAGCTGGCCTGGCTGGCCGGAGGAACCAAGGGGTCACCACTGAGTTGGCAGAAACGCAGCCAGCTGCCCGGAGACCACCAGGCTTGACCTCACTGCTGCTTGCGCAGGGTGTCTGATGCTGATGGACAGAGCCTCATAGGACTGCTGAGCTGGCCCAGCCTGGTCCCCACGAGACCTGCCAGCCTGCTTTCCCTCATTAAGGAGGATGGGCACCAGGAGGGGGGGACACTGCCCCAGTCTGGGAACATAAACATTCCTGACAGCTCCTTGCGGCGGCCCCTCCACCAAGCCACAGGAATTGCTGATTCGGCCCAAACAGAAATGTTCCCATCGAATGCAGACTGGGGAGGAGGCAGCTGTTTGAACCTCAGAGCTTCTGCTGCCCCGAGTTGCCTACTACCCCACCCCCGCTGTGCCCCACGCCACCATGTGGTCAAGACGGCCCTGCCTCCTGAGGGTCCTGTGGGTCCCCCGACCTCCAGCCCCTTGCTATCTGCGTGCATGCCAGTCCCATAAGTCACCGGGAACAAAGGACCCCACTCTGACCTCACTCTCCCCATGGCCCTGCCTCTTGGCACTGCCGTCCCCAGAGGGCCTATGGCTGCCTGTGGGGGACAGTCCCACCAAGGCCGCTCAGCTGCCTTCTACCACCAGAGACCCCCACAAGCCAGTGGCCTGGAACCCCCCTGCACTCCTCTCCCAGCCCCTCCTCAGCCACTCCCTCCATCAGCCCTGGCTCCGCTGCCTCCCGCAGGCCACTAGCACTGGCCCCCCACTTCCTCCCTGTGGCCACAGGCCCCGTCCTCCCTCACTGAGCTCTTCCAGTCCCCGGCCTTTGAGGGGCTGTGGGGAGGGTCCGGGGGTTGATGTTGTTTTCCCTCGCTGAGCCCCTTAACCAGGCCAGCCTTCTGTGATTTCGCCCCAGCAAGGGGCCGCTTGGCACGGTGAGCAATCGCGTGCTTACTGTGACCCACTTTGAGTGTTCTTGGTTAGAGGCTCCTGCTTTCCCAGCAGGTGCTGCAGACGCTCCTACTGCCTCGGGAGCAAAGCGGCGGGCAGGCGGGCAGGCGGGCGGCCAGGCCAGCGGGCTCTCCCCTCTAGTTGGCTCTAGCTGGCAGTTCTGCCCAGCCTGCTGCTCCCCACACTTACTTGACCGAGCACAGCCTGCCATGACCTGGCTGTGTCTCTGAGGGGGCCATGAGGCAGGGTCCCCATTCAGGCGGGGGGCCTGGGGGAGGGACACACGAGGGGAGCCCCACGCCAACAGGTCAGTTAGACTTAGTGCAGTTCCACTTTAGGCCAGAGTTCACCACCTGGCCAGTAGGCTTAGAGTTTTCCTCAACTTCTCCTAGCTGCCCAACCCATTCCCCGTCTCTAGAGCACACAACAGCAGCAAAGTCGGGTTCCTTTTCCCTTTGAAATTTCCTCAGGGAAAAAAAAATAACCATAGTGCTACTTAGTGAGTCATTTCATAATTAAGAGTTGTTGGTCCCAAATTTTTTACCTATTTATCTTTTTGAAGGATAATAGTACCCTTTGGCTTAATTTTTAATTGGCCTTCAGTTCAAAATAGAGTTCGTGAAGAAATCAGCAGAATTGGGATTGTTAGAATAACACTGCCGGCTTCGTATCTTCTTGGAAGAAGTTGTGCACTTGGGGATTTCAGCCTTCCTGGGCAAAGAGCCTGGCACCTGTGCTCGGTGGGGCTGGGCTGGGCTGGGCTTCGGCCCTGCAGGGGCGAGGGCACCTGGGAGGGAGGCTGGTAGCCGCCTCTGCTCCAGACCCACCTCTGGGGGTAGTAATCTTGGAGAGACCACCTCCTGCTCCATGCAGTGGGAGCAGTAACACTCCCTCCTGGTTGTTTATTCAAGGCCCGCCTCTCAGTGAGCCCTTGAGCAGGGAAATTGGAATCAGAGACCCTAAAAGAGAGTCTCTGGGCAAGAGCGGGCCCCCACCGCCCCCTGACTGGTGACTGTGAGGTCACAGCCTTAGGAAGCACCCCACAGGGGGGAACACGTTTGGTGCTGGGGCATGACGGCACTCCCTGGGGACATCTGGAAGGGAGCCTGCCTCTGGGAGGCAAGGACCCAGAAAGGAGGTGTGTAGGCAGGTCTGGGGGTCACGGTGGGGCAGGGGACCATGATGGCCAGGCTGTGTCCAGGGGCTAACCCCCTGAGCCTTTTACCTTGGATGTCATCTTCTCTGCGGTTCTCGTCCCCAGCGCCCTGGCCTGGTGGGGGGGACATGGGGACGCAGGATCAGGCAGCTGACTGTAGGGTGCTGGTCGTCACAGCGCCACTGGAACCAGACTGGCATGCGGGGCCGGCTCCACAAATAGCGAGCCCGTGTAAGAAGCAGCTTCCCTCAGACAATGACAGGGCAGATGCTCCATATCTAAGGTGACCAGATTTTAACATTGGTAAAGCAGGACACCATTGATAAAACTCGTCTCCTGGCGAAATAGCCACATGGCAGCCAAAAACCGTATACCCTAGCTTGTCGTGCATTCTTTCCAAAAATCGGGATTTTGTTTAAAACGCCGGGGGACGCACAAAAAATTGTTAAAAATTGGGACTATCCTGCCAAAAGCAGGACGTCTGGTCACTTTACCCATATCCCAGGCATCAACTAGCATGCTGCTAAAGGCAAGAGTTCTCAGTACTCGGGGTGCCCCACCCATACTCCCAGTCAAATCACCCCCCTTCCTCCTCATCAGTGACACACTGAACCCTGTGGCTTCATCTGAGGGTAGGCACCCTAGTTGCCTTTGGGAGATTTGTACTTTCCTGCCCCCAGAATGGGATTGGGCGGGAAGAGGTGAGGCAGAGTGGTCATCCAAGCCTCCCACCTGTCCAGTCTCAGGCCCTAGGTCACCCCCTGCCCACAGCTGCCGGGGAGCAAGCAGGCGGCAGTTCCCCCAGCAGGTCTGGGACAAGTTTGGGCTCTGTCAACAGAGAGGATGTGCATGTGGATGAGTGAGTGAATGAATGAATGAGGGAGTAAAGAGTCAAGTGAAGCAACAAATGAACGAGGTAGTGGAAACCCAGGGGGTGAAGGTGCAGGCCCTTCAGTGCAGCCCCCCAATGTTGCCCGGCCGCGAGAAGGTGTGCTGAGCACACGGCACAGGGAGGAGCCTTGAGCCCGCTTTGCCAGGTGGCTCCCCCCATCAGAAATGCCCGGGTGACAGGCCGTAGATTCATGGTGGCCAGGGGCTGTAGTCGCAAACGGGGAGGGGCTGCTCCCAGGATGAAGAAACTCTGGATGTGGGAGTGGTGATCCCACCCTATAAATGTTGCATCTCCACAGAACATCGAAAGGAGGGTGGATTGCATGCTGCGTGAACACTATCTTTTATGATCATTCTTGTAAGGGGAGCTAAATAGATCTGGCCAGGAGAGGGGCAGCGGCAGCAGGGGGCCAGCTGGCACAGGTCTCAGGCAGGGGCCCATCTTACAGGGTGGGCCACGGCTTCCTGAAGGACTGGGTGGGAGGGGGCAGACGGACAGCACCACTGTGAGCCCCACTCAGCCGCCCTCTGCTGCATGGTACCCTAGCCCCCCCGCGGAGAGCTGGGGAAGGCCTTCCAGCAGCCAGGTCAGGCGGTTATTTTTAGCTCCTACCTCACATGCTCCTCTTGCCTTCCCCACTGCCTCCCCGAACAGAGCGGGGAACAGGAGAGGCAGCCAGCCGCTCCCAACCAGCAAGCAACCAGCCAGCGGGGCTTGTGATCCCAGGTGATCTGCAGGGGCCGGCTCTGGGCACTTGGGATTAGGTCAGCCTGTATCCAGACCCCCTTGAAAGCCAACGCCTTCCAAGATACCCTGTCCCTATTTGGCCTCCGGGGTGACATCTGCAGGCCAGTGGAGAGATCAAGGATTTGCCAAGTCACCAAGACAGGGCAGGGCAGATAACCAGCTCCCCCTAGAGGCCTGGCCCGGAATGGCAGCATGCAGTGTCCAGGAGATGCAGCCTAGGGACCCGGCGGAACAGGGGAAGGTACTGCTTACTCTCAGAACTTTCTCTCAGCTTCTGAGAGACAGAAGCTGGCGTCCACGGGCTCACTGGGGCTTGTGGGGGCCACACTTGGAGCAACATTTGAGCTCTAAGGGTGTCAGCAGGGTGCTAGGGCTGGGCCCTGCAGGGAGCAGGTGAGCGCACACACGACCTCTGAAGGACAACACCCGTATGCGCGCACACACACACACACACACACACACACACACACACACACGGCACGGGCACACGACTGGGTGTGGAGCCAAGGTTTGGAGCAGAGCAGGGGCTCCAGTGTCATGATAGATCTCACTCCAACCCTCTGCCCTCCACCCAGCCTCACTTCTCAGGGACCCAGGCTGGAGATGCAGCGCACAGAGCTCCCGGCAGAAACCAGGGCGGGGCCATTGATGAAGCACCTGCCTCAACAGCTGGAAGATGCCTTGCTAAGGGCAGTTCCCTCAGGGGGTACCAAGCATCCCCAGTGGGCAGGCTCGGATCTGGCCTGGAGCCTAGATGAGGTGTGGGTACTGAGTGCTGGCTGACCAGAGCAAATGATGGCCAGAAGCTGCTTCCTCTCCCACCCCCCACCCCGCTCTGTCACCACTCTGTGGTCCTGTGAGCCTCATGGGGGCCCTTCTTGTGACAGAGGTGCTGGCGAGAGCCTGACAACTGAGGCATGTAGAATAAGCAACAGCAGAAAGATGCCAGGGGCCCTGTCCCCCGGGAGTACGAGCAGGCAATGTCCGTGGGGCAAGACACCTGCTCCCAGCTGGCACCGTAGTAACCCCTTTCCCTGTGGCCCACACCCTGCCAAGGGAGAGGCCCAGACTCTAGAGGAGGCTTATGGGAGACATGCCCCCATCAGCCTTAGACCTGCTGCAGCCATCGCCCACTGGGGACCTTGGCATTCCTAGACCTCCCCTCCTGGCCCGGGCAGCTCTGACTTTGTTCTGAGTGTTCTGAAAGCTGCCCCACTGATACCCGTGTCACGTGTCATCACTTGTATGGAGCTGTGGGCTCCGGGATGCATGCTGGGCCCCGTCTGTCTGTCTGCCTGCCTGCCTGCGTCCCGGTATCAAGCACTCCCAGCACTGGGCCTGACAGAGAGTGGGTGACCTTGAGAGTGGAAGACTCACTGCCAAGCACTTGACCCTAGCCCAGCTCGGTTCATCAGTCTTCGCCCTCATCCCTCCCCAGCTGGCAGATTTAACGTGGCCTGGCCTCTAGTGCTGCCGCAATGGAAGCACCACTAGCGGACAGCGTTGACAAAGAGAGACACGCTCTCAGTTTGGTAGCCGAGGCGTGTGAATCCAGGCACAGGCTCCAGGAGAGGCTCCCCGTTTGCTCCGGGGGAAGCCCAGGCCCTTTCTCGGCATCTGTTCCTCAGCCCCTCGGCACCCTTCACATGGTGCGTCTCTGCCCTGCCCTTCT